TGAAATCTTATCTTTATATGAAATCAAGAATTATTCACAGAGAGAGAGAGAGAGAGAGAGAGAGAGAGAGAGAGAGAGCGCGGAGCGTATTTCTACTTGAGCGAACGTTGAAGAATTCTTGTTTCTGTCGGCGGGTAGTCGAGGCATTTGAGATTTTCGGGGGTTGTCGAATCAACAGGTTTCGGTTATGAGAGTGTAAAGCGTTTTGAATCTGACCCCTCGAGAGGGGCATGAATCCTCGGGCGCGAATCTCGATGTAGGAGAAAAAAAAGGGCAAATCTTGTCCGTGGGGGGTCGTGTCAGGCGCGGTTGCTCTCCCGATCGGTGAAATTGCGCGCGTGTGTTACGCGCGCGTATGTATTAAACGGGGGTAGTCCGTCGACCCCACGCTACGGGGGTGGCTGACAGCCGATTAGGGCAAGATGGGAGAGAAGCCGAGGGCCCCCACGGAAAACTTAAAATAACATCGCTCGATCATCCGGGTGTCTTCGCAGACAGCCGACGACGCCGTGCTCCGCCATTCAAACGTTTACCATCCCGTCACCTTCCGCTGCTTCCTCCTTTACCCTAATCCTCGCCTGCGAGTGTTCTATGACGCGAACCAACCTGTCCTCGATTAAATCGAGCTATATATTTACATGTTTACAACACATGTATGGTATAATATAATCACGAGTATTTTACATTGAAAGGTTGTATTACGTTAAAGGAAATTAGTCATCTGGAATTAATATTTTAAAGTCTGTATAACTCATTTATAAATTTATAATAAATTTTATCATTCATCTTGCACGGAACGTAAGAGCAAAACTGTAAAATATATTGTAAACATTTTTATAATTGAGAAATATTCTTATTTATTGTTTACAAATGTACAATTTATTTATATCGGTTTTAATTTATTTGACATGCATAGGTATATATATAAGTGTGAGATAGATTTTTAATTATATATATATTAGGAGAAAAAACTTCAATGAAACTTAAACATCGCACAAGAGAAAGGTATCGTCGAAAGATTTTTAAATTGCTTTACCAGGGAAATTTACGAAACAGTCAGAGGTTGAGCACCTCTTCGATGCTCATTACAGAGCGTCCCGCCCCCGGCGGCGGATAATCAGGGTGTATGGGGGAGTGAGGGGGGCGGGGGCGGTGGGTGACCTCGCCCGGGGCCTTTACTCTCCTCTTCTTCGCCCTGCCACTTCCACGTCTCCTCACTCTGTTCTTCCTACCTGACGGAGGATACCCTTCTCTCTCCTTCCTCCTCTCTATTCTCTTATCTCTTTTCCTCTCGGCAGTATCCGAGTCCTTTCCTCTCGACGCTTTCGTCTACCAATTACCTGCGAAGGTGACGGAGCAGCAGCTCAGCTTTACGAATTGCGATCTCGCCGGTACTTTGCATTCGGTGTATGTTGCTATCATCCTTGTCGCTTCATGCTCTGTCTCGTTCCTCCTATCGAAATTAAGTTCTTTAAATTTTATCTAAATGTATTATTTTATGGCAATGTGCGTCTGAATTATTCTATCTAATATCTTGCGTAACACTAACGAACAGAAATATTTATATCAATTTGTTCAATAATAAATGTATAAATTTTAATAATTTTTTAATAGATGATCTTTGGGGGGAATCTAAAAACACTACTTGTGATACTCATTTATTTTCGTATATTACGAATATTAAAATTTATTATCACGAAATGATTGTATAAATATGATACATCTATTAGAATAGTAGCGATATTGAGTACCTTGATATTTCCGAGATAAGAAGATTAATCAATAGCGCGAGAGAGAAGGAGAGCCAGCGGCTATTTGGCTGCGAATAATAATGATTATGGGCAGGTACTCTCCGCGAACAGGAAATGGTGTTGGTGAACGTCGGTAGAGGTAGAAGGTAAAGTTTTTTGATTCGTCGATTCGCGCGCCTGAGACGACAGCGAGCCCTATGGTTGCCTTCCTTTTTCATGGTTCATTATCTATGCAGAGGCTAGTGAAGAGAGCGCGGACAGATGGGGCAGAAGAGAAAGAATTAGGAGAAAGGTTCGCGGGGTCAGGATTCACAAAGAATTGAAAGTTTCAGGACACGCCGCTGAATAATTGGTATCCAAACAGGGGACTCCAGCACTCGGTGCTCCATGCGGATTCTCAACCTGTGGATCTACTGTTATTCTTGGAAAGAAATTTGTCCGCGTAAGGATCAGCGTTACGGCACACATGATAAGTTTTGACGCGTCGAAAAACTCGTATCTCGTATCGAAAGTCTCTCTTGTAATCTGAACCCGATCTAACTTGCAAAGAGAACGGATCCTCTACGCAGATGGAAATATTACGG